TCATCGTCTTTTGTTCACTGAGAACAAGTCCACAACCGCTGGCCGCGAGATGTTCCCGCTCTGAACACCTCCCCCGTTGTGCCGCACCGCTACTGTGCGAATACTTGTCCACTCAGTGTCATAACAATATTAATTATTAAACAATTAAATACAATTAATTGTAATTCTATTACGGGACGATTGTCAGCTAAATCAAGACAATAATAAGACAATTAGTGGTAAGTGTTTCATATGTCTTGTTAATAAAATTATTTATTATTAAAAATTTATTATACTTACTATATTATATTTATTATAAGTTATAATTGTAAAATAAATTTTTAATAAAATTAATATTAACACATTAATATAAAGTTACAATTTTATATTAGTAAAAGTATCAAAAATGGACAAAATTAATTGCGATATTGAATCAAGATCATGTAATTGCTTAAATTTGGATGAGGTGAATCAAAAACTACGCGAACAACAAAAACAAATTAATGAATTAACCAGGACAGTTCAAGAATTACTCAGCTATCAAAAACAAAACTGTCGGTCAGACTTGTATCACGAGACCGGACTTAAGCCATCGCAAGGCACACAAACTAGTTGTGATTTCAGTCAGAGCCCGAGCCCAGACGGGACTCCACAACCCGAGACCAGCCCCCAGAGTCAGTCGGACGAGTTTATATACGTATTGTGCGAAGACCCGGGTAAACGTGACCACTTTGATGATCATGTTCAAAGCAATACTGTGGCCATCTTGAAACAAATTGAAGCCGTACACAAAGTGGCCAAATCAACCGACGATACCGTAGCGTTACAAATGGCGGCCACTGGTGAGGCCATGTTGGAAATACTACAAAAGCAACAGGGAGAAATTAATGAACTAAAGCGCGAGTTAAGTCAAAGATTGAGTCGGGACTCGAGTCCAGAGGATAGTGTCACTCATAAGACTTATTACACTATCAATGATAACAGTGACCGAAGATTTCAATTTAATATTGGTTCATTTACAGTGCCCTGGTTTAGCTCCGCACCCCCTGTAGCCAGCATTCCCAGTCCCCCTGTAGCTAGTATTCCCGGTCCAGAAAAAGTTGCTGCCTGTTTACCAGCTCTCAAATAATCAATATATAATTTTTAACATTAGTTTATACATGATTGTAATATCAATAAATGATTATTATTTTTAATTCTTATTATATTAAACTTTATTTGATCAATTTGCATTAATCAATTTTCAAATACACATGAACATTTATTGAAGTTCCGGATATTCGTCAAATATACGATCCTTTAGTATTGCGTAAACTTTAAGTCTTTGTTCCGCTTTGGGCTATTGTAAGAAATATAAGATTTATTATATAACAAATACAAACTATTAGTATTTAATTATATTTACCATCATTTCTAACTTTCCATGTCTACCATACTGTTTAAGACAATAACAAACTTCCTTTATATAACCCAATAAAGTAAACACTTTTGCCTCCTTTATAAGCCTTTGTCGTGAATTGATCTCCAATTGTGTAAAAGAGTTGCCATTAATTGCTGTCATTTCCCGGATATAGGCGTCGATGAAGACCAACATCTGGTCGTCAGTGGGAAAGGGTCCGCCACCGAAGTCCAGCTCTGTTTGGCACCAATTCATAAAATAATCGCCAAAGTCGGCGCCCCTATAGGTATAGCAACACCAGTCCCAGTCAATAATGAATACGTCCAAACCCGGGCCAACCCCTCCCTCCCGGACCAGAGTATTGCGCCGATTGAGGTCACAGTGAGAGAAGACTACGGGACAGGCAATGTGTTCGCACATACGTCTGAGCCAATCCATCTCATCCAATAAGTCCAATGATATGAGTGTCTTGTAGTCATTCTTATTCTTCTGGATCTCCTGGCGAACCGACCCGTTTCTATAGGACTCCCGATCGCTCTCTGGGTACCTAATGTCCATAATTATTTTCATATACCAGTCGGCGCTGTCTTTAAATATCGGCATATTTAATGAATGCAATTTTGCCACCTTTTGTGCCAACACTGACACTGCCATAGGGTTGATGTCATCGCCGGCGTTGAAATAGTGTGACTATTTATAATGCAATTTAATAATTAAAAGTAAGTCAGAATTTTATGATAATTTATCATTTCATACATCAATATATTCACAGATATTTCCCTTTTCAAAGACGGCCAACATTTTGGGCGATATATTATTCTCGGATAAAATTACATTAACTGCTAATAAATGGGTTAGATTTATGCCACACCTTTCGAAACAATCGACATCGAAATATTTGACCACCACTTTCGAGTATTTTGTTTGTCCTTGGTCAATCGAGTCGGGTAGAAAACAGAATAGTATTTTATTTACAAATCCACCCCTAATCAAATAAAACATTTTTATTATTAATTATTGTTGTCAAACAATTTATACGTCATTTACGTCGCGGGTTTGATAACCAGATCGTCGGCGCAAACATCACTCCATTCGCCGCCTAAATATGTTTTGCATAATTGCCACACATTTAGCCGATCCTCCGCTGAAACACTGCTTTCCATTAAAAATAGTAATTAATAAAATTAATTGTCTTTACAATTTAATTAGCATTGAATATTAAGTTGCCTTTATATAGTGAGTTTTTACCTGTAAGACAACTGATTAATGTAAATATTATCAGTATTTTATATAAATTAATTGTAGAGAAGTGGTATTTTTGCTGTAACAGATAGTGTGACCAACCGTACACTTTTGAAGTGTACAGTACACTATTTGAGACTTCTGTACACTATTTTCAGACTGTACACTATTGTACACTTTTGGAAAATATTTCTATTAAAAACTAAAATAATAAAT